CCCTCGGTGTTTGCCATCGGGATTGGGTTTTCGTCGCTTGGCAATGACGTAAAAAAGCCAAATCACTTCGTGAACTCGGTGATGGCCACCCTGAACTCTCGAAATCATGGGTTCGACTCCGTGTGGAGGTGCATTTTTTTTCCAAGACATTTTGTTTTTCGGAGTCCATCACATTGATTGGCGCCCCCCACACCTCAATCAATATATTGTAATACTGCTGTGTAGTAAACGGGCCAATGGTAGCAACGCACGAGCCTACTGCAGGTACGTTTTTCAACAAAAAACTATTCCACCTCCCAATCTAGTATGTGGAATGTGGCCTTCACAGGGAACATGGCGCAGTGTCGTTTGACAACATGCTTGTAGAAAGTGTTGTTCTCACCGCCAGCCGTCGCCCCGGCGAAGCCACTGCGTGCGACCTCGAGCGCCTTCGACGTGAGCACGGCCGTCAGCGCAGCGCGGGGCTCTCCATCCTGCACTTGGTCAGCAGCAGCAGCAGCAGCAGCAGCACCGCCCCCGCTACTGACTTGTTCCTGAGTGTTCATGTGTGGGGTCTGCTCTCTGGTGGTCGGTTTTTCCGCTCTGTACCTCACGAAGGACTCCGCGAGTATCGCGACTTCTGGCTGCTCATACGAAAGAGTGCCACCAGCAGTGAAGTTTGAGATCAACCTCAAGGAAGCTTTGAGTCTATCCACAGCGTGGTAGACGCCACCCAGTTGGATGAGTGTAACTTATACTGCTGTTGGAGTTATGTGTCTTTTAGAGGGGCACGTGGGGGTGCGCCAGCTCGGAACGGAGTTTCTAAACATACCCGGGGCGGGTTGACCTTGTGCGTACCCCCTTCTGTGCGATCTTGCGATCTTTGATCATTTCGATCTTGCATCTCCAGCCGTCGACGCCCTGTCACCCCCCGTCTCCCTGTCCGGATTCTGAGCCGCAGTGCATTGATGTATCTCCGGTAGTGGCACTCTCGACACGTCAAGGACAATATGACCGATCATGCAGCCTCGTCCGCTCCCCAAGGGAAGGTTCACACAACCCAGCCCGGACGGTCCGGCTACAAGGTTCGGAGACACCGCGCATCCATCAAACGCGACGGGTGCAACGGCAACAGTTCTCTGAACGGCCCGGGAAGCGCTCATGTTAGAGGGGGCAGCAAGTCTACGGAAACCGGTGAGCTTGGACACGCCGTGTCAATTTCCGCCGTGCCGCCACCATCTTCGGGCACCTCGCCATCATCTTCGCTGAAACAACGGCCGTCGTTGTCGGTGGATATTGGTGTTGAGAGTGGTGTCAGCGCCGGTAGGTGTCCGACAGCAGCCGGTAGGGATATGGTCACAGCGGAGCATCGTTCCAGCCTTCATGTAAAGAGCGATGTCAAGACACTAGCAACTGGCTCCACAGCCATGTCTTCGTGTGTCGACCAGATCACCCAGGCCGCCGTGCACAACGCGACGACACCAGACAGTAGGGCCTCACTGGATCCTTGTGGTGGTCTAAAGCACGACTTGAGTCAGCAGAGGATTCTACACATGCCCAGAACTCGGGGACATGAGGCTTCTCAGCAGGCCGACAGCGCTGAGGACGGCCAATGGTCGGATGCCAGCAAGGGTCCCTTCGTACGATCGTCAGCGACAACGGCGCATGAATCCAAGAAACATCAGCGGCAGCAGCAGCTTCAGAAACAGCAGGAAAAGAAACAGCGACAGCCGAAAAAACATGGCTCAAAGAAACGAACACCAAAGAATCATCGTCAGCAGGAGCAGCACCTGCAGAAACAGCACGAGGAGCCCAAGCATGAAGCACAAGCAGTTGGTACTTCGAAGGCGAGCATCTCGCCTCATACCCCCGATCATCAGCGAGGCAAAGAACAGAGAACTGAACCCGCCCGCACCGCGAAGGGACTCGAATTCCACGAGCTTTCACCAGCAACGTCAACGGACTACGAGGAACGGTCCCCGTTTCCCGAGAAAAACGCGGGCAGCAGAAAAAACGGCAACGCGGGGGTCGATTGCATCGATTCCTTGTGCTCCTCGCTACTGGAGATTCTAGCCGAAGGCGAGGATGTTTCCTCCAAAGCCGAGCTTGCAACCTTATCCTTGGGCGGGCGGAACAAGTTCCTCCCGACGGGAAAACCGCTGCTCGAGGAAACGACGCCGACAACTTCAGCGGTGAGCAGCACATCGTCCTCTGCAAACAGCAGGAAGAGCGATTTGTCCCCTGCTGGCAGCATCCTTCCCACACCGCAAAAGCTCGTCGATCACGGCCACAGAGACCGCGAGAAGAAACGCACGAGGAACAGAAAAAAGGAGGAGAAAGATAACGACGGCGGCGGCGGCGGCGGCGGCGGTTCGCTGGTTCTCGACAGCGTAGATGTGGCCGCCGACATCGCTCAGTGGGCTGCGGACAACAGCCGGGGAGGAGAGTTCACCAAGGTGCTCGAAGCCGTCAGGCGAGACTCGGGAGTCGTGTCCGTCGACACTCGCGCGGTGCTGAAGCAAGGGAGGGGTAAAGGTGCAAGGGCCCAGATGTGAGATCAGGTGGCGGTGGGTTCCTACATACGTACATAGGTTGATGAAGTTCCCTCGTATTGTTCATGTCTCGTCTATCTGGAAACCACCGAAGTAAACTTTGTCCGAGGCGACGTGTATGCGCGTGTAGACATGCTCTAGCCTACTGTTCATGAGTTTCTTCAAACAAAAGATGTATATCGACATGATCGGAAAAACGCCCAAGGAGTGCCTTCATGACGCAAACGTCACCGAACGAACTTTGCGCCTGGTATGGACGATTTGGGACGAATGTGATATGGGGCGAGTGCAAATCGTTGTTGCCCTATTTCATGGGGAGCACTTTGTGGAAAAATTTCAGGCCCAACATAGGACCACCACGGCACAAAGTACAGCCAAGGAGGCCATGGCGAGTGCCGAAAATTGACGACAGCAACATGAGCCGCTATCCTTTAATTTAGTTGTTGAGCAAACGCCGTCCACGTGGCGATGATGAGGCTATCATATGCGGTATTCAACCCCGAAGTCAATCACACGTTGCCCGTCAACACTCACATTGTACGCGAAGTAGACGGGACTGTCGAATTGACATCCGGGCAGCAACAGCAGAGAAGAAGGACCAACAAACCTACGTAGCACGTGTGGGCACGCGTCCTTCCTCCTTTGTCCCTCCATTGTTTCCGTCCGTGCTTTCTCGCAGTGATAAGGTACACGTCGACATCCGCGCAGCGACTCCCGCGCAGGCACGCATGGCGAGGGCGCTGCTCCAGACGCACTTCAAGAGCCGGTCAGAGCTGCTGCGCCTGGAGCATGCCCAGCGGTCCATGGAGGGCAGCCTGTCGGCCTTCGAGGCGAGACAATGTTCCCACGAAGCTCTGTGTACGCTAGACATGCGACGTAGTCGATACGGCAGTATGGTGATGCGGGAAGTAAAAAGAGCGAAAGGTCTTCCTTGTGCCGTCCGTCTCGGAGATAAGAAGATAAATAACGATTCTCCTCGTACAAGTAGGGTTGGAGAAAAGTATACGATGTGTTCCTCGTGCATGTATACACTCCCTCGTTCTTCCCTACCTATCCGTCTACACAGAGGCCAAGGTTCGCCCCCCCACCCCGGCCATCACCGCCTCGTCTATCCTGACTCCATCAACCCGCTTGTGAACGTAAGCGTGTACGGACATAACTGTCGCCTTCCATTCTTCAATCTCACTTCACACCAAAACTACTGTCGGATGTCTACTAAAAACGAAACAACAGCGCGAGGTGTCCCGGGGCCTACGCGTCCAGTTCGCCTCCCGGCCGGAATGGATTGGGCTTCTCGTCGGCAAGGCTGGGTCTCGAATACGAGGCTTGCGAAAATCCACGGGGTGCAGCATCGAGGTCATCGACGGCGGCGGTGGCGGAGGGCGGGGAGGTCCTGACGGGAGTCGTGGAGGGGGAAGAGGTGGTGGCGGTGGTGGCCACAAGGTGGCGGGGGGCCAACCGCCTGCGCCCTCGTCGTGCAGGGTTGTCATCTGCGGGCCGGACGCGGAAAGCGTGCAGAGAGCACGAGAACAGATGGAGCTGACGGAAGGCAGGATAGCGGTGAACCCTCAGCAGGTAGAGAAGACAGGGGAGGGAAAACGACGGGTTGGTTCCAAGGACGCCCTGGAAAATGAAAGCATGCCTTCATGAAGAAGCATTGAGCGGGAGGGGTGCTAGAAAGAATAATTCACCACGACGGCGCTGGACCAGCTCGCTCCCACTCGGTGCAGGTCCTTCTCCGCTCTATCGACCTGGATAATGCATGGTTTCTGGCCCTCGCCGTTGTGTCGTTCGACTCCCCCCCCCTCAGGCTGCCGTGCTGGGGCGTTTCCCCCGCACTAAACTGCTAGACCTTCGACAGCAGAGCCAGTGCATGGTGGTCGATCTACAGTCTGGTTCGGCGTGTCAAGGGAGGCAACAACAACAACAACAGCAACAGAACGCTCCTCCCACCAAGAACAATTGTTCGTCGTCGGGAGCTGTGACGGGGGTGATGTCGGTTAGAGTGATCGGGCCTCGTCCTACGGTGGACAACGCGCGCCTGCTCCTCGGAGTGGTCCTGGAGTACATGGATCGGGAGAGGGAACTGCGCGAGGGTGACAACGTCGTGCGGGAAAAGCTTCTGGTAAGAAGCGAGACTTTGTCACCGTTCCAAGATTTCGGCGGAGTTCTGTACTCACATACGCCCGAACGATGCAGAGTAGAAAGCACACGGCAACAAGCATTGTGCCGCAAGCAGACACTTTGTCGTACCTCAACTGCATGTAGATGTGTACCGAATGTTTACCGACGCGTGTTGTCGAAAGTGGTGTCGTGTGGTGGGGTTAGGATGCGTAGTCATTCCGCTCTTGTATAGTTTGCTTTATCGGCGGAAGATGTGTGGTTTCGTAAGGTGGTCAAATCCAAGCGGCGATGACGGCGTCCAACAAGTATCATGCATATCAATCACGCTCTACTCTCCAAGCCACGATAGCGTTGTCTCGGGCTGCAACCTGGTTGACCCCTCCCGCCCCCCACCAACCGCAACCCGCCCGTGGACGTGTTTGTGTCGTGTCCAGGACATGCAGGCGAGCTTCGGGCACCCAGGCACCGCGCGGCCCGCGGCATGGGCTGCAAAAGCCGGGAGAGGTGGCTATGGTAGGAGAGCACCGCCACCGCGAACATCACCAAACTCGATGCGCAAAAACCGACAGGCCAACCAGCGGGACAGCTAGCTCGCTCGAGTGGTCTTTGGCCATTTATTGACCAGTGGCTGAGTGAGCGAGAAGCGTCACACAAAAAAATTCAGAAATTAATGAATAGATGCGTGTGGCCACCCGGATTGAAGCTCCGACACAGCACAAATCTGTGTCGTGTGAGCACTGATTTGAAGTGATGGAGAAAGAACAATAATGCAGCAGCGTGATGGAGTGTTACTTGAGGAGACCTGCCGTCACGAGTGGCAAAGAACGGCCACTGATTCGGGAGGTATTGGGGCAACACGGCGTGCTTCTCTCAACCTCCGACATGAGGCGCACGTGGCGCTGGAGCGGCAAGGGGCGAACGGTCTGACTGTCTTGGCGTTGGTTGTGTTTGGTGATATAGTCTATATGCATATGCGTACAACGATTCTCTACCCAGCCACTACACAAATCGTCCCAGATCTCCTTAGTCGCCGCTGTACATGACCCTAAGGTACCGCGTTTTGTTTGGTAGCGCGCGCAACGATATCTATCCATCTACGACTCGTCCCCACGTCCAATAACACACCATCGCTGTACCAGAATAGCCCCCCATAGTGCTCCACGGTCAACGTACGGATGACAGTAGACTACCCGTCGTCGCAGAGCTCATCTGCGGCGTTTTCTGTCAAAGGTGGAGCATTTTTTTCGCCGTAAAGCCGACAACGGTAAACAACAATAGGCAGCAGTACGGCGGTCGCGTACTTGCTTGTCGCTCGTCCTCTTGACAGGTACAGAAGTGTGTAGTGGAAATCACCACAACTCTCTCTCTCTCTCTCTCTCTCACACACACACAAACCCACACAATCCTCTCTGCAGTGACCCCTGGCCCTCTTCTCGAGCAATCATGCAACCAACACACTACTTAGTACCGAAACAGCTGAACAGAGAACCTCCCGGTCTTCTGATAAACCTCAAGGCTAGCTTGAAATTTCGACACCCCATCCCCAAGAAATAAACACCTGCTCCACCACCTTCCGGAACGCCCCACAAACACGAGTTTGCGGCCACAGCAGTGGCAGCAATCGTCCCAAACAAAAAAGCGCAAAAGTCCGATCCCAACCGAAGTTCAGCAAGACAGCTTCATCAAGGCCTTGAACTTTTCTACAAGGATTCAAAAGCAACCAAGCTGCTGGGCTAAGACGCAACCGCTTCCTCCGGCACTTCGATCCTAGGGAACACGGGGACGGGCTTGTCCAGGGGGGCCCCGGGCTGCAGCGAAAACCGCGCCCCCCCCTCCTGCTCTAACGCCGCGAATAATCGCGCATCTCCTTCCGGCACCCCTAACTGGTCCAACAGCTTCCCCGCCGCTTCGGGTACGAACGGCTGATACAGGATCCCTACGTGTCTAATCGTCTCCAGCTGCGGGATCAAACGAGCGAGTGTGGCGTGAATCATGGGGGGGGCGGGGTACTCAGTAGTATCATGGACAAAACGTTTTTGTCCACGGATCGGACAATGGGCCCGCGCATCGTCGCCGAGGAGGGGCGGAGGAAGCCATCATGTAGTGGCAGACTGCGGCAACCCCAAAGGTCGGGACCGCGGAGGCGTTTCGCTTCGCCAATAAGGAACATGTGTTGCGCCCCATGGTCAAGTACCACCGTGCGCTTGGTCTACAACAGGGGGGCCATGCGTATCAATGATGGCGCGCGGGGGGGGGGGGGGG